AACCAGCTCCCACTGATGCAGGATTAATTACGATAGGGAGAAGCCCAATGGAAATGGAGCTCTTGATGAGTGACCCCTACTACTTCCCATGGTAGGTCATTCCACTCTTGGATTGCTGTTGTGGTGATCAAAATTTGTTTGTTTTTGCTTTATTCTGATTAATCCTTTATCATTCTATGGCCTAATAGAGATAGAAATGTCTGCAAGAATAGGGCAGAGAGGTAATGCTGGATAAGAATGAAGGCATTGGGACAATTTTTAAAGATCTTAGGCTTTTTTATTGGAAGCTCTTAGAAGTTGGATGCTCCAGGGGAATGGACTTTGGTGAAAAGGGGAAAGTAGAATGAGATAAAGGAGAACTCAGAGGCCCTTTCTTCCTTCTTTCTTTCTTTCTTTCCTTCCTTCCTTCCTTCCTTCCTTCCTTCTCTTTCTCTTTCTTTCTTTCTTTCTTTCTTTCTTTCTTTCTTTCTTTCTTCCTTTCTTTCTTTCTTCCTTCCTTCCTTTTCCTTCCTTCCTTCCTTCCTTCCTTCTCTTTCTTTCTTTCTTTCTTTCTTTCTTTCTTTCTTTCTTTCTTTCTTTCTTTCTTTTTCTTCCTTCCTTCCTTCCTTCCTTCCTTCCTTCCTTCCTTCCTTCCTTCCTTCCTTCCTTCTCTTTCTTTCTTTCTTTCTTTCTTTCTTTCTTTCTTTCTTTCTTTCTTTCTTTCTTTCTTTTTTTTTCTTTCTTTCTTTCTTCCTTCCTTCCTTCCTTCCTTCCTTCCTTTCTTTTCCTTCCTTCCTTCCTTCTCTTTTTCTTTCTTTCTTTCTTTCTTTCTTTCTTTCTTTCTTTCTTTCTTCTTTCTTTCTTTCTTTCTTTCTTTCTTTCTTTCTTTCTCTTTCTTCTTTCTTCTTTCTTTCTTTTTCTTCCTTCCTTCCTTTCCTTCCTTCCTTCCTTCCTTCCTTCCTTCTTCTTCCTTCTCTTTTCTTTCTTTCTTTCTTCTTTCTTTCTTCTTTCTTTCTTTTTTTCTTTCTTTCTTCTTCCTTCCTTCCTTCCTTCCTTCCTTCCTTCCTTCCTTCCTTCCTTCCTTCCTTCCTTCCTTCCTTCCTTCCTCCTTCTTTCTTTCTTTCTTTCTTTCTCTTTCTGTCTGTCTGTCTTTCTTTCTTTTTCCTTCCTTCCTTTGTTTTTTTTTTCTTTCTTTATTTCTCCTAGGGTTGAATCTGCCATGCTACTCTAGAAACTGTTTTCTTCAAATTTCTCCTCTAATCAATATATTACTCAATCATTTTTAATTTATAATGTTAATTTATTTCAATATCTACAATATCTTTTTTCTTCTTCCAATTTCCTTAGAAAAATGATGCAATTCAATAAGAATAGATATAAAATCTTACAATTGATTAAAAAAAGTCAGTTTCATAAGTACAACAAAAAAAGGGGGGACAGTTTTAAGTTACAGTTTGAAAGGGGATTTAGGAGTTTTTGAGGACCACAAAGTCAACGTAAGTCAACATTGTAACTTAGTAGCCAAAAAAGAACTCATGTGATCCTAGTGGGCATTGAGAGGTCTAGCTTGCAGCAGGAATAGGAAGTTAGAAGTCCAAATGTGTTCTTGTATGGTCAGCCACCTCTAGAGTATGGTTTCTACCACAGGCGAGAAAAGATATCCACAGGCTAGAGATCTTAAACAACACAAATTTAGCAGGAAGGACCTCAGGACCAAAGTATACGGGAATTGATTGGAGGGACAGGGCTGTTTATTCTGAAGGAAAGTCTTCCAGGAGACATAGTGTCATTCCTCAAATATCTGAAGGCCACTCCCATCAAAGAAGGGTTGTTCTGTGTCCCAGAGGGCAGAACTGGGAGCTATGGTTTCAGTTGGCAGAAAGGTGACTTTAGGCTTGATGATGGTGAAAGACTTTCTAACCACTGGAGCAATGCCAAAGTGAAATGGAGACTGTCACTTGGCTATCTTGAAGAAAAGAGTGGAATACCACAAAAGAACGTAGTTCAAGGGATCCTTTTTAGATAGGACTTATTTAGCCCAGATCTTCTTTGGTATTAAGTAACTAACTAATCAGTCCCTCTTCACAGAGGGATTAATTAGCCTAGATCTTCAACCAAGGCTGAAATTCTGTGGTTTGGTGATATGGAGACAGGTTCTGATCAATAGAACACTGTTCAGAAGTTATACATTCTGTGTCTAGACAGTGGTCATAATCCAGCTTTTAAGAAAAGAACTATTTCCAAGTTGAGGAAGTTCTGGGTTTTTTTTTTTTGTCATCTCTTCTATGTACTCTCCAATATATATGTCCTTAGTGGTGGACCCTAGAAATGGAAACACACACACAACTATAGAGCCATTCTCTTCCTACATGCCTTCCTGAAACATGTCTGCTTTCTATTTAATAGTGATTTTCTGGAGAAGCATGAAACATTGGGGCTAATTCTCACCTTCTTGATTTTTTAAGTGTTTTTTTTTTCAGGTGAACTTTTAACTTACAAGGATTAATTTAAATAAAATGTCACTAAAATGAATCATTTTCACTAAACATTAGAAATAGAAAAAAATATGCATTTGTCCAATTAACATAACTTTTATAGAAAATATTGGCAAGAAACAGAATTGATAAATCTATATGGTTCACTTCAGGTTATAATATTTATTTAATAATTAGTCTTTTTTTCTATGTCAATTCATGATCGATTAAATCACATTTTAGGCACTTTTGGAGCATCTACCACTTCATTGTTTCGTTATCTGTTTGCTTCTCTGTAAAAGTCTTAACTATTTAAAAGGAACAGCAGGTTGTATATAATAGATGTGCCCTTTCATGTGAGATCATCATTTTTTTAATTCAACTATGTAATGGAAATGCTTCTGTAATTTTATAAATTAAAATAAATAAATTTTCCCCAAAAAATAAACAAACAAACAAAAAAAGTCTTAGACAGCTGCTTCCATCATCTAGAGATTAAAGGACTCATGGGAGGAAGCACGGCCAATATTTGCCAGAGGTAAGACTTTAGCTAGGTCTTCTTGACTCTGAGGCCAGCTCTTTGGATATAAATCTATATGTTCCCTGGGCTCCAGATAAAGGCCCCTTTTTTATAAGGTAGCTAAGTTGTATAGTGGATAAATAAGCAGATGAAGAGTCAGGAAGACCTGAGTTTCAGTCCAGGTTCAGACACTTACTGGTTGTGTGACTGCGTGGAAGTCATGCCTCGAGTTGGAGAAACATTGCCTAACAACTGCAGCTTGATGGGAGTCTGCCTGAAAAGACTGATGATACATCACAACCTGTACTACTCTGTACTTTAAAAAAAAAAGAAACAATTTTTGTATTAATGTAATTCATCTTGACTCAAGAAGAATTTATAGCATACTGTGTTGTATCACATTGTATTACGGTACTTTACCTACTCTACATGCCAGGTGCTAGGAGAATACATACCAAAATTAAGTAATCCCTTCCCTTAAAGAACTTACATTCTCTTGTGGGAGGGTAGCATGTAATCTGCAGAGATAAATTTAAAATAGTTTAAGAGGTAAAGCACTCCAACAGCTGAGTTGATTTGGAAAGGTGATACCTGAGATGAGCATCAAAGGAAACAAGGGATGGTAAGAGTCAGCTGTGAGCCAGATGTGCATTCCAGGTATGGGAGAGAGCTTGGCTAAAGACAAAGACAGAGGAATTAGAATGCAAAATATATGAAACAACTAGCAGGCCAGGCCATATTGAGTCAAGAGGACCGGAAAAGGTGTAATGTGAAATGATCCTGGAAAGTTAGATAGGAAAACAACATGGCATTCTGAAGTTTATTCATGACATTGATGTCCTTGAATTCTCCCAAATGAGGATGAATGGGCAGGTGGCCCTGTGACTCTGCCTGGCATCCCAGACCCCCAGGAAAATCTGATTCCCAACTGAGAATCAGCTCTTTCTCTGGGACTTGGGAAAGGGACATTTGTTTTCTTGTATGAAAAACCTTTACATTTTAATTACCAGGTCTAGTGAGGCTGTTGGGAGTCTCTCTCCCTGAGTCCCCTGGGATGTGTTGCAGGACATTATCAAGGTCTACAAAAGTAATTGGTCATTAGTCTTCATTCAGTAACTTACCCTGACTTAAGAAAAAAATCAACTCTGCTGCTAGTAATGTAACTCTTCATAAGAAAAGAGTTTTTCTTTTCCATTTAGCAAGCCAAATGTGAACATAGTGCCAGTAATTTAGAAAGCCATTCTCATTTCTTAAAGAGACTAATCATACATATTTAATGGGTTAGTGAATGTGTTCAAAGAGTGGTAGACTTTATAGAATTCAAAATTTGTTTTCCTTTTTTCCTGCTCTAGAATTGAGGGTCAATAGGTGAATCAGTTATTGTATACTACTTTTAATATCTTTCTTTAATATCTCTCCAAATATGTACATATGTATTTTTTTCTTTCTTTCTTTCTTTCTTGCATTATTCTGCACTGCTTCCATTGATGACTCTATACTTTTGACTCCAGACTGGCAATATGAGGGTAAGATGAACACACACCCAAACCAACCTCCTCCACATGGCTTGTCTGTCTTTGTTGCATCCCTTCATGGAGCATCATTAGAATTCTCTCCACTCTATTTAGTTAGATCCTTTATCACAATTAAATTCCAATTATGTTTGTTTCTGTTGTGAAGCTTTAATTACAATTTATCCCTGTTAATCATCCCTTTATGTTCTTTCTTTGGGTTAAATTACCATCCCATTATCTCTGTCCTGAAGGACTTCTGCTCAACACTGGTCCCCGCTGGTGTCTTGACAGACAAATCTGAATGGGCTTAGCCTTTGTTGAGTGGCTCATGTTCTGATGCGGGAAGGCATGGATATGGGCCATGAGAGACTTTACACTAAAATATTCTCATCCGTTATGCATTTTTTTGTTAATGATAATCCTTTTATCAGCCACCAATATGAACTTAGGATACTTTTTTTTGAATGATGACGTCATAGCCATTTTATTTTCTTTCTTTTCCCACACTTTTAGATTGTAAGCTGGCTCGGGGAGGCCCACCTGCAACAATAGTGGCCATTGATGAAGAAAGTAAAAATGGTGAGTACTCTGGACATCTGTAAATATGCCTAAAGAAAGGTGGTTTCTCAAAGGTCATTATGAGATGAGCTGGGAGTTAAGTTAGAAAGTTAATGCTTTGGTCCAATTCAACAAACAACCCCATCCTTATCATGTCATTTCTGTTGCACTTTAAAGCTAATTTTTAATCTTCAAATACTTTGGTTGGAAAACATTCTAAGAGGATTTCTCACTGAATGGGGAGGGAGGCTCTCTGCTCAGTTGGGCCTGAGAAGATTTGATCCGTAAGTAGTTTCTGAGTTCTTTCCCAAGGTCTTAGGCCTCCTGAGAATTGCAGAGTGGGATGTTTCCTTTGTCACCCTTCTCTGCCTGTATACCCTTCCAAACACATGCAGTCTGCTGAATCTGAACGGGAATGATCCAGAAAAGCACATTAGAGAGCTAGACGGATTGACCTTTGATACAAACGTTGATAAAAAAGCTCTTCTTTTTTTTTGATAGTAGTTGTTTTGGTCAATTTATTGTGATACTGTGATAATGGATCCCCAGCGTATCACAGCCACCAGATTTTTTTTCTTTAAACTTTATATTAAAGATTCTTTGGGAAGATTTGGATATTCTCACATAGTCATGGTCACCATCCACAACTCTGCTTGGCTTAACTATACTTGGCTTAACTAATATCTCTGAGCAAAGGATTCCCAGTAAAGTGCACTTGACTTGAGCCCAGCCCCACACAGGTGATGTCAATGGCTGCAGAATGCACATACCCTGTAGTCAAGCACTGGGCATCTTCCCGTCCTTGAGTGGACACACCAATTAAAACACTAATGGTTCCCAGTCTGGATGTCTTTCCACAAAAGTTGGGCAGGTGAAATGTGGTAATGAGAGAAAGGGAAGGCCAAGAAACAGTCTAGCGAGAAGCTTGGAGGGTCTATTTTCAATTTGGCATTGTGGCAACCTCCTCGAAAATGAGTTCTGAGCCAGGCTGAGAGATGAATGAAGGGAAAACAATAAAGACAAAAGACTTTTTTGCCCATAAGACTACAGATTTCACAAATTTGGAATTTAAGAAGAAATCAGTATTTTATATTTATCCACAAGGGCATTCATTTTGTAGTAAATTGCCTTTTTTATTTCTTTGCTTTGTTTTTTTGTTTGTTTATTTTGTAAATCCATTGCTTAAAACATAGTCAAACTATGTCTTGGACACAGAGTAAGTGCTCAGTAAATGCTTTTTGACTTGACTCACATGACATGAAGCTATTAAAGATGCCTCCTGTTCTTTATCTGGACAAGCCCATCATTAATAACCTACTCAACACCAAAACCTGGGCAAAAACTTTTCCCTTTTTCCTTGCAAACCTTACCTTGAACAAACATTTATATAGTGATGTGCTAGCTCTTCTGATGGAGGACAGTTAAATGCTTATTGTGATGATTTTTCCATGAGTAGCCTCAGTTTCTATTTCCAGTAGCTTTAAGTTTGGGACTTGTCAGACTATGTGTGCGTCATGGTTTGCTTTAAAACAGTCATGGGCCTTCTAAACGGTTTTTTCAATCTCCATTTTCTGTTTCTCCTGAATATTTATGAGGAACGAAAGTACTTGGGGGGATGGAGATACATACCACTTCTGTCATAATCTGCTCATCTGTTTAGAAATCTCAAGGGACTTTATATTCTCTACTGACAGAGAAAGATTACATCAATTTACAACCAGGTAGTATTTGATAGGAGAATCAGTCTGTTTGTTCTCAGACATTCAGACATAGGGAAATAATTCACCCCATAATATAAGGGCTATTTCTTCCTGTTGAGGTGAAAAATAGTTACAGATCTTTTCTCTTTTTCTCACATCTTACAATATCTGCCAGATAATGAGTGTGGTTGGGTTGCTATTTACCTAACCATCAAATGAGTATTCTGTCATAGGCAGTAAAATTAAATCAAAAGAATCCATTCACTCTACTTATTTTCTTTGTAACCATACATTGTGCCCTTCAGAAACAGGAATTTTGGTCTTAGGCAAGTAGGGATATAAGAGGAATTAGCCTTCTAAGGGGGAAAACAAAACATTTCACTGTTCCCACTAGCACTCAGTATCTTCAGGCAGTAGGACAAATACAATCAGGAAGTAGGAAGCTGACAAGTATGTGTGTGTGTGTGTGTGTGTGTGTGTGTGTGTGTGTGTGTGTGTGTGTATGCGCTGTGCGTGCATGCACGTCCACACATGCAAAGGGCAATTCAGACTAGTCCAAAGAGAGAAAATCCACCTGCAAGGGCAGTAATGTAGGAAGACTGCCAAGCCTGGTCCTTTTCATGCCTCCCCTGAGCTCAGATGTCCACTTCCTTCTCTCTGGGGATCTGCCTCTTCCAACCCTCATGAAACATGGACTGGTAAAGGAGAGGGAGGAGGTACACTACCCATTGAGGGATACCCTGCCCTTAGATGTTAGCTTGCACAAAGCCCTAGTGACCCCACTCTAACTACTGCTCTGCCCTCTCAGATATTTGAGCTTGTTAAAATAGCATTTGGTAGCTGATAGAACAAGGCTGCTTTCACAGTTTATTCTGCACTGGCTTGTTTTGCCAAGTAATTACAACAGTGATGGCAGCCTACTGTAATCCCTCTTTCCACTGATTAAAACTAATTTCTCCAAGCATCTTTACAAGGATCCTCCAGGGGCAAAGTAAGGTGGCACAGAGTGATGGGGAATGTGGCATAAGTTCAATGCCTTTGCTTCATTGGAAAGTGACATGGTACAAACTAGGAAATGCTCAAAGTCACTCTTTCTAGAATTCACAAAATATGCCAACCATGGAGAACCCTGCCAAGGCTATGTCAATGTCACCCTAAGATGCCCTCAAGTGGTGCCCAGTGCCAGGCACAGTGCCCTTCATGTACCTTTGAACTGAATGGACGTGAAGTACTGGCCACATTCCCTTTTATACTTTGTGTAAAAACTGAGGTGCTAAAAGACACCTCAGCTCTGGCTATGCGTCTATTGTCAAATCCCTATTATCCTATAATCATGCAGGAAACAATCTCTGAAGAGAGATGCCATGTTTATGATGCCAGTTTCAGCTCCTGAATAAAGCTTTCAGGTTGTTTTTTTTTGTCTTGCTAGTAACCTGACTTGATTTCTCTGTCTTAGCCTATGTGCAAATCTGTGGGGAAAGTAAGAAGTAAAAAACAGTGTGGTCTCATGGCTAGAAAACCATAAGGGAGACAGGACAACTTGGATTCAAGTCCTAACACATTCTGCCTGCATCCTGGGACAAATCACATAGCTACTCAGTGCCCTTGCTAACTAAAACCATAATTTACCGAGCAAGTGGCAGTCTGTGTTGATTCAGGGAGTGTCTGGGAGTTCTTCACAACAATAAAATCATCACAGGCTCAAAGTCAACTGGCTGACATGAGATGATTTTGTCATTCCATAGAAGGATCACCCTTTGGGGCTTCCATAGGCTTGTATTAATCAAAATTTACAGTGGAAAAAATGGAATTCTTTAAAAATGAAAACATCCCAGAATAAATTACATTTTGGCAGCATCTCCATCTCTAGGTATTAGAGAAACTCCCATGACTTCCTCTACCCTTGATGTTTCTGAAATCAAATCAAAAACTCCTTTACCAAGATATTTCACTTTTATAACTATAATGCTGTCATAAAGAATTTAGGGATTGAACAAATTATGTATGACACTAGAGTGTTATTTGTTCAAAACAGTAATATGCATTTTCTTTGCATATATCCATAGTATTGTTGTTTTTCAGTTATTCAATCATTTCTGGCTCTTTGTGACCTTTTATGGGGTTTTCTTGGCAAAGATGATGGAATGATTTGCCATTTTCTTCTCCAGTGTATCAAGGCAAACAGAGGATAATTGACTTGTCCAGGTTCACACAGCTAGTGAGTGCCTGGGGCTAGATTTAAACTCAAGTCTTTCTGACTCCAGGCCCAAAAACTATTCACATAGCCTCTTAGCTGACATATATACATATACATACATGTATGCATGAATACATAAATAGGCATGTAGATGATAGATAAATATTAGTTGATATGAGTGATAAGATATTTTCTATCATATGATATCTATGATAAGATAATATGTTCTTTATGATATGATAAAGTACACAATTCCTTTTTGGAGTTCAAAAATCATAAAAAATATCAAATTATTAACTCTGCATTTAGTAGGGCAGCCTTTGGCTCTAACCCCTTGTTAGGTTGAAGTCACTTCTCTTACACTTATTGGCTGTGCCACACTGGGCAAATCACTTAACTTCTCAGTGCTCCAGGCAACACTGGGAGATTTAGCTACTTACTAGGAGTGACCAATCTGCTCTGATGTGCTGGCAGAGGGGGACCTGTGTTTAATGTTGATTACATGCCAAGAACATTGCTGAGCTTGAACAGCTTCAAATAAAAAAAAGTAATGCAATCCTTCATCTGGGAGGCCATTATGATGGGGGAGCAAAGCTATTCCACTCTTCCCCCTTTCCCCCAAAAATGTACAAAACACTTTCCTGGAAGGGAGATTTCAAAAACAACCAAAACAATGATCATGACAATGACAACAACAAGCTAAAATGGTACACCAATCCCTGCCCTCCTCAGTTATGGCCAAGGCAGTAGAAGAAAACATAGACACGGAGAACTATGATAGGAAATAGAACAGAAACACCAAGAAAAGGGACCACGTGTGATCTATAGAGAGTAGGAAAGAAGCAATCCAAATGTGGATATTGAGATTTAGTGGTGTTGCTTTGGGATCATAGGGAATGGCATAAATTATGACACAAATTGGAAGTGAGGAGAATAATTTTAGAGGAATGAACCACCATGTTTGGTGAGCCTATAGGGTAAATGAAGGCACAGGACAATGCCCATATGGTGATGGATGAAGTTATGGGAAAATATAGGACCACCAAAGAAGGAAGCAGAGAATACTAAGGGGAAAATGAAGCTAGAGATAACAAAAACAAAACAAAACATGATGATAGAATAAA